GTCCCTCCCCACTGGGGGCCCCTGGGGGAAGGCCCCTTTTCCACCCCCATGTCCTCACCACCCAGATGGAGACCCCAGATCATCAGGAAGGCACCTTCTATTCACCTCTGAGACCTCCTCCTTCCCCATATAGTACATCCCTGGAAGGAACCTTAAGGGTTTTCACTTGGGCTCCTCCACAGGCCCTGCTAGGGGAGGAAGTAGCGCTGGGCCTGTCCCTGGGCCTTGTCCCTGGGCCTCCTTGGGAAGCAGCAACCCCTTCTCTTCCCCTCAGCTGGGCCTGCCTTCTCTCAGCCTCCTCAGTGACTCCCTCTTCCCAACCCTGAGGAGTAGCGATGATGTTATGCTGCTCCCATTCCCACTACTTCCCATCCAACCACCTCCACCCACTTCTACTTTTGAGTCCAGAGCCCCACCACACTGCCACCCATGGGGAACCAATGCCTACCCTGGGTTGGCAGCCTGGCTCAAGGCAGGCAATGGTTCTGTGTGGGGTTGTGGAGCAGCAGGGCCCCGGACCTGGAAGCAGAAGTGGGGCCAGAAGATGGGAAGCAGCAGGGATGAGGTAGCAGCAGAGCTTGCTGGGCACCCTGCAGCTGTCCCCCACCAAGGTGCCACTGGCAGAATCCAGGAAAGGAGGTGGCTAGGGTGTGGGAGTTGGAGCCAGAGTTTGGCGGTAGAGCGGAGAACTGGAGCTATTTCCCACCAGGGCCCCGGACCACATTGAAGAGCTGCTGCCACACCTGCCCTTTCTGCAGGAGGTTGAGGTTGGAGGGAGCTCAGGGTGCCCCCTGAGGAGGGGCCAGGTGAACAACAGAGCTGGGACCCCTGCCCACCAGAAAACCCAGGGCCCTGCCCCTTTCCTCTCCATTATGCCTATGCCCAGCCCTCCAGGGAGGGAAAAATCGCCCCAACCTCAACAATGAAAAGTTCCTATCCTGCCCTGAGCCATAGACGCTGCTTCCCTTTCTGACTCTGTGGGGGGGTCATGTAGAGGGCATGATGACTTCACTCTGTCATCCTACAGGAAAAAAAGTTTTATATAGAGAGATTAGGGAACAACTTTCATGTCCTTCTGTAAGCCAATATGAATCCATATACAAAATGGCACACTAATACACTTTTAATTATTTTAAAGGAGGTAATGCCTATAGGATTGTATACAGAATAGTGTATCTAGCCCACAAGACCAGTTTTTCTATGAGAAAAATCTTTATTTGGCTTTCAAGAAAAGCTTAACATTAGATTTTTTTTTTAGGCTACAAATAACTCTTTACCAAGTGCAAATATGGATAAAGATGCTTTATCTAGGCTGTGATACTTAAAAGATTAAAGCAACCAGTCCTAGAATGAGAATCAACTAAAACTGTCATACTAACAACCTATTTACAGGGACTGTATCACAGTTGAATAAGAATGCTTCTCAGTATACCAAATGTAGCTATTTTTGTTTAACATGCATGCATTTAATATTTCTCCCTCTTGGCTTCCAGCTCTATTTAGTGGGTTTTTTAGTATCATTAATTTACTTATTAGGTAGTAAGCAGTATTACTTCAATTGCAGGGAACTCTGGGAGCCAGTTTATACCCTTCCTATAACAGGTTTAGAGGTAGCTGTGTTAGTCTGGTTCAGCAAAAACAACAAGGAGTCCAATGGCACCTTAAAGACTAACAATTTTATTATGGCATAAATCAGCAGTTGGGAATCTAAGGACTGGGAACTGGATGCAGTCCCTGGTTTGTCTGGATCCAGACCCCGAAGCTCAGGGCCCTCCCAGCATTGAGGAGTGTGTGCTGGCATTCCATCCCGGCCTCTGCCCCACCGCAGGCTGAAGAATCTTCCTCTTTTTCAGTTGGGGGGTCACATCAGTAAGAGTTTGATTTTTTTTTCTTCTCACTTACATGCAGCCCCTGATGGATTTTTCTGTGGGTCAATGGCCCCTGATCCAAAAAAGGTTCCCCATCCCTGGCATAAACTTTTGGGATCTGTATTTCACTTCATACATCTGATGAAGTGAGTTGCATCTCATAAAAGCTTATGCCATAATAAAATTGTTTGTCTTTAAGGTGTCACTGGACTCCTTGTTATTCTGATAACCATGACACCATTGTATAGAAGAGTTATTGTACTTTACTTGCCTTCATAACAGTCAAGCCTGCAAGGTGCAAGGCGTATTGCTTCCCGGAAATGTATAATTGCCTCTTGTACTCGGCCCATATTCCTAAGAGCAGCTCCTTTCAGCAGCAAAGCTTGAACACTGTTACTGTTCAGCTGAATTGCTTTGGCTCCTAAATATAAGGCGCGGGAGTATCGCTTGCTGTAGAAACTGTGACACCTTCAAAAAGAAGAGAGATGGTAGTAAGTGTGCACTGCCAATGGTCATTCATGGAAAGATGAAAAGAAATGTAATTGATGGGTTTATAGCATGCAAATATCCTATTTTGTGACTATCATTTAAAGTACACTTATTAGTCTTTGCAAAACTGGTGATTCAGGTACTTCATTGCAGCAACATTAGTTATCTGATAGATTCAAATACCCAATGTTGTTTTAAATACAGAGAGAAACGGACTGGACTGGTAGATATGTGTACTTCTACTAAGATATTTAAAGTTAGACTAAGAACTAAATGTTTAAGTAGAACGGCAGACACCCAAGACAAATACAGGTTCCAAACTAATGTTCAAGCTCCTGAGAGCTTTTCAAAAACATTTTCAGATATCTAAAAGGGTGCCACAAGGAGGAGGGAAAACAATTGTTCTACTTAGCCTCTGAGGATAGGACAAGAAGCAATGGGCTTAAACTGCGGCAAAGGAGGTTTAGGTTGGACATTAGGAAAAACTTCCTAACTATCAGGGTGGTGAAACACTGGAATAAGTTGCCTTGGGAGGTTGTGGAATCTCTATCTCTGGAGATATTTAAGAGCAGGTTAGATAGACATCTATCAGGGATGGTCTAGTCCAGTGGTCCCCAACGTGGTGCCCGCGGGCGCCATGGCGCCCGCTGGGCCATTTCTGTGCGCCTGCCGAGCAATCTGGGGTGCCCGGGTGGCAAATTGGTGGGGTGGCGCCAGCCCCGGGTGCGCAGCACATGGTCCCTGCTGTCCCCGGGCGCACGGCGGTTAGGTGGCCCCACCCCCGAGTGCGCAGCGCGAGGCCTGTGCTGGCCCTGGGCGTGCAGTGTATGGGCGGCGCCGGCCCTGGGCACGTAGCACATGGGTGGCCCTGCCACCGGGCACGCAGCGCATAGGCGCTCCCGGCTCCTGGGTGCATGGCACAGACAGCGGATCTGGGCATATTAGCAGGAATAATATAAGCAAAATACACAAAGAAATTCTTCCATTTTACTCAGCATTGATAAGGCATTGCTCTCTTTGGCCTCTGATGATAGGACAAGAACAATGATCTTAAATTGCTACAAGAGAGGATTTGGTTGGACATTAGGAAAAACTTCATGACTGTCAGGGTGGTTAAACTCTGGAATAAATTGACTAGGGAGGTTGTGGAATCTAAATCAGTGGAAATATTTAAGAGCAGGTTAGATAGACTTCTATCAGGGATGATCTAGACAGTGCTTGGTCCTGATGTGAGGATAGGCGACTAGACTTGATGACTTCTAGAGGTCCCATCCAGTTCTGGTGTTCTATGATTCTCTGAGACAGGTGAGCAAAGGAGCGAGAGGATACAAGGAAGTGAAAAGTAAATATAAGTTACCCAGACACCACCCATGGCTCTGCATGCTGATCAGAAATATTGAAAAGACGGCAGCCCAAGTTCTCCACATCCTCCAGTCGACCGTCACGTGCCAGTAAGTAGCCATATACATCCATTCCTAAAAAAATGAAATACTTTGGGATCAGCTGTATTGTTTGAGCTCCTAATTATAACATTTGGGCCTTTTATGAAGATTTAAGGATACAATGGAACTTGATCATAAGGACTATCAATTTCACAGCACTTGTATCCTAGCTACTCCTATAGTTTTGGGACCAGGTTTGAGCCACTAGACTCCATTTTCACCATAAAAGTAGAGGAAGAATCAAGAAATATAGGTATAAAATGAGAACATGAAGAATTCTAGGCAGTTTACAATGAAGATATATTTAATTTAGAAGAAAATACAGGACATGAACTTCTTAAATAAATAGATTTGTTAGTACTTCATTCTTCTTTCGATACATGTTGTACAGCTATGCTAACTCCTTGAAGTACTATAATTTTTAATGAAGTGTAAAACAAACACCACTTTAAACTATAGCTGCCACCCACTGCTCTGGGTAGGGTCAGAAACCGTGCTGATGACCAGAACACCTACATTAACATTTAAGTCTTTAATGGAATGTGAACTGGATGCACCTGCTGTGCTTGTGTCACTCAAGAGGTTAGCATGCTGGGGCAACTTTCATTTGAGAATTTCAATTACTTACCTTTTATCAGATAAGGATCCAGCATTTGTGCCTGCTCAAATTTCAGAATTGAGTTTTTATTATCTCCAGCTCGGAAATACAGGTCTGCTAAGCTACTCAATAGATCCACATTATCCCTCAATAAAGACTTTTTCTCTAAAGAGCTTAAAAAGAAAAGAAATGCCATTTAAACTATCACCTTGTTATGTACTGATTGAATTCTAAATGCTTTTTGAAGCTTATAAATTAGCTCTCATATACAATCATAACTGTTCAAATTTAAGTGTCATTTAAAAACCTACAGTTACCACAAAACTCGGTTATCATCTATATTGTTACCTGACTGTCACCTTTTACTGGGTGACCACACAACCTAGATAATCTGTCATGGTATGATGAACTGGTGGTGATTCTCAAATACTGAGGTCTTAAACCCATCCACTGCTTTATAAATATCACCAGCAACTTGAGCTGCACCCAGAAGCAAGGAAGCTAGTTCACAACATTAAGCCCAGGCAATGACCCACTCCATTTAGGAGCTAGGCACTAGAATTCTATGCCAGGTAGACTTTCAATGTAGCTTCAAGTAAAGCGCAATGTAACAGACTTCCAAAAGGGATTTTTTTTAAATGTCATGACCTAGTTAAGTTTACCTGCATTGTCTGAAACTTATAACTTTTATAAGAGCATCTGAGCAAAGAAATTGCTCCATCAGCGCAGCATCATTAAAAGCTTCTCAGTTTCCATTCATATTCTAGAAATGTACAGGTAAGTCATAAAAAGTTTAAATGAGTTTTCAAAGCTCAGTTTTCAAAAGAAGCTACAATGATGTTTTCAATTACAAAAACATTATAATTTAAAAAGCTTCTTTTCATTCCTGCAAATTAAAAACAAACAACTTGTATTTTATAAAATTAAACACTCTAGCATAAGGGGACACAAAGTATCTTCCCTTTCCCATGAAGAAGCATATAGCCTTTGGGAAACTATTTAGTTTAATTGGGGCTTTCTTCACAGAATACCTAGGTCTTGCACAGATTTCAGATGTTATTTAATCTATACATTCTATAAAACTTAGGTACTATCCAAAACCAGTATGGAAAACAATGTCCTGATTTTGATAGTTTGTCAGAACCTTAATAATATCATAATAAAATTGAAAGCAAATCTAAAAATATTGTTATGCTTTCTATGTTAAAGTTTTCCAAATCAAGATATTTTCCTTAGTCAGGAAAAAGCTATGTTCAGCATCTGACAAAATCAAAGGAATGTTTACAGATCATAACTGCATGGCCCTCAACAACACAAAATAGCCATCATGCTGTGCCAAGCACAATGTTTCAATCTTTCACAATAGTATATAAAGTAGTGACTCAAGAACAATAATTTAATCCACCTTGATTCTTACCAGATAGTGTTGATTGCTCTGGTGTTATCTCCAGTGTGCACAAATGCATATGCTTTGATCCACATTGAAAGCCAGTCCAAATTAGGGATGCTTTGAATAACATTCATCGTCATGGAAGCTACTTCTGCTCCTTTTACTGAGAGTGACAGCAAACCTACTCAGAAAAAAATACCAATCAAATCCAAGCATACGATACAGTTTGTCATTCAAATTAGTTAAAATGCCTAAAGACAGAATTCCATGCCTTTGAATACATACAGGTGGTTAGCTACATTGCTCCTGAACAATCTGTACATTGCATACATATGAACTAATTTGCTAATATGTCTTACACATCTTATATTTCAGTGGTAATATTACTTGATGTAATTTTAAATATTAGATACTTGGTGGGGAAAAAGTCTCTACCTAGTATGGCATCGAGTGCTAATGGACACTGTCTCAGCACTTCTTTGTAACTGGTAACAGATGAGCGTTCTTGACCTGCCTTCTTGTACAAATTTGCCAACATCATGTTAATCTGTAACCAAAAAAATCTGATTGTGAGAACAATCTAATCAAGAATTAAGAAAAGCAGAGTTCCTCACCAAAAAGGTCATGGTTTCATTATCAAACACAGCCCCAATTTCCCAATTCTCTGGACAGAGAATACTTAAGCCCTGCTTCATAAGTCACAAATCACTACAAAGTGAGGCATGTTTCTCACTTCTAATTCAAAATAAAGAAAAGTGGACATTATAGTATTTTACACTAGTGTAATGTCCCTGAGAATCTCCAACCTGAACATTCATGCAAAAAATGGGCAAGTGATTTACTTGCTCTCTCTACATTATTAATGGAAGTCTACAGACTAGTTGTCTTTGGGAGGTGGAGAGCAGGTTTGCAGTTAGATTCTGACTGAATTCATAGTTCACAAAAGGGCAAGATAAACCTGAACAAGCATCCCGTCTCCCCTTCACTGCAGCTAGCTGTTCTGGTGGTTAAGTATATTTGGTTCACTTTTCCTTTCCTCAAATTTTCTTCTGTACTGCAAACCTTGCGTAAGGTAGAACACACACTGGCCAAGATGGGATGCTGTTAACACTCAAACCACAGTAGATACCCATGAGGTATAAATGGCCTAAGAGATTAACTAGATGACAGACCCAGCAAGTAAAGTTTCAGAAGTGGTCAGTGCCAAAAATTCTAAGTGTCCTAAATATTTAGCACTTGCAAATTATTAAAAAGGGTGAGAAGAACTGTGAATGGGGAAAAAAAGTTTCCTGAAGAGATTTCCATTGGTAAAGTGACAAAACAAAGAGCAGTATTTCATCTCCCTTTATATATAATTTTTTTTCCCTGCGGGACAACAGAGTGACATCATCAGCTCCCTCATACTACCACTTGCCTCCATCCTGTCGCTTGATGCGCAGTGACTCCTGCTTTACATCTTGGGAGGCTGCACCACCAGGGAGGAACTGCTGAGGCTGGGTCCCCTCCACCATCTAAGCCCGACTCCTGCCACGCCAGCCACGCCTGGTGCCCACCGCCATCAGAACCCACCCCTACCTAGGCCACCCCATGTCCCCTCTGCCATCTGAGCCCAATCCCTCCTCACCCCTTCCACTGAGAACATGCACCCCCCAGCCCACTCCTGCTCCCTCCCCTGGCCAGACACCCCGCCCTCAGCCTGCTCCTGCCCCATCTCCCCTAGCCAGATACCTACCCCCAGAGAGAGAGAGAGGGGTTGACAAGCATAGCAAGCAGGGGGCAGAGCCCTCTAGTTTACTATATTTTCACTGTTTTCAAGAACTGTCAATTGTTTTGCAATCACAGGTGGTTGCACTGGTGAGGGTATTAGCAAAGTCAGATCTAAGCCATTTTCAGCACTTTGTCTAGAGAGTATCAGCTACTCTTCCTCAGAACAGTAAAAAATATGGTTATACTACCTTACCACCAAAAGCCTTAAACTAATCAGTTGCAGAGGGCAGAATTTTGCATAGCTAATAAAGACTTCAATCCTAACTAAATTAAAATTATATATGTTCTCACTAGCCTATCAATGCATGTCAAGATGTCTATTGTCCCCCACATAGGAAAGATTTTGTAACTCCCACCAGCAATGAAAGTATTTATTTTATTAAAGTATCAGAGGGGTAGCCGTGTTAGTCTGAATCAGCAAAAGCGGCGAGGAGTCCTGTGGCATCTTATAGACTAACTGAAGAGTAGGAGCATAAGCTTTTGTGGACAAAGACCCACTTGGTCAGATGCATGGCATCTGACCAAGTGGGTCTTTGCCCACGAAAGCTTATGCTCCAACACTTCAGTTAGTCTATAAGGTGCAAGTATCAGAGGGGTAGCCGTGTTAGTCTGAATCAGCAAAAGCGGCGAGGAGTCCTGTGGCATCTTATAGACTAACTGAAGAGTAGGAGCATAAGCTTTTGTGGACAAAGACCCACTTGGTCAGATGCATGGCATCTGACCAAGTGGGTCTTTGCCCACGAAAGCTTATGCTCCAACACTTCAGTTAGTCTATAAGGTGCCGCAGGACTCCTCGCCACTTTTATTAAAGGAGTTACCTGTTGTAGACATCCAAAAACATTTAGCTCCCTTTAGTTTGTTGAACTCTTTCAAACAAGCTTGCTATACAGGCTACTTGTTTTTAAGAAAATATGCTAACTAAGCTCAGGCTAGATCTATACTAAACCTGAAAGGCTGGCTTATGGTATGTTACGCTAGCTATATAAATAACTTAGCTAGAGTTGACATACCTTAAGATAAGCTTAGCACCATCTTTACAGTGGGAGGTCAATGGGAGTAAACATTCCCATTGGTATCCCTTACTCCTCGCAGATGGAGTACCAGCGCTGACTGGTGGGAAGGGGGAGAGAAGAGGAAAAGTTCTCAGTGCTTGATTTAGCAGGGGTAGTAAAACTAAATAAAATGCCAGAAGATCAATCTTCAATGCGGCAAGTGGAGACATAGCCTCAGACATCTAGAAGTGTTTACTCAGTGTTTCCAAATAACTCATTTAAATATTACAAGCACAAATGTCAAGGTTTAATCTCTTTACATCTATACGCTACATCTTCCTTCTTTGACCAAACTGGATTATACAATTCTAAACTACTCTGTCACAAATGAATCCCAAAACCTACCTTAGGAGTTCTCTGTCTTGAAGGAATTCCATCTAGTATGGCAATAGCATCTTTGTCTTGCTTCAACATTGTGTAACATTCAGCCATCTTGTATTTCACTTCAATTTCAGATGGCAGGCACTAAAATAAAATTGATCATAAAATATATATTAAATGCTGTTTTAGATATACAACAAAGTCTGAATTAATAAAATTTTCTGAAACTGTCATATAAAAAATTTAAAGATGACAAAAGGTTGTACTTTTATTACACACTATTTTCCCTAATGCTAATGGAAACTACAGATTAAATGGATAGTCTCTCTGACATTTGAGACCAACTTAAGTTCTTCCATTAGAAAGTAGTGGTCAGATACATTATCAAAATTAAATAGTCACAAAACTCAGGCTTCTTTGCTGTGCTATTTTTATAATCTAATGCTGTAACATTAATCCACCAATACTTCATTTTACAGGGAGAATAAGTATATTACATTCTTTCCAAATACCTGACTTTGTGGAGTGGATGCAGCATTCCCAGTAGAAGGTCTTACTTTTGAAGTTTTACTTAGTGCTTTCTTCTGCTGCAAGGCCATTGTATACTTACTTACAGCATTCCTATATTCCTTGTCATGGAAGAGAGAATCTGCATGGTACACAAGAAGCTGGTACTTTTGAGATGGTGAGAATAATTCACTGGAAGAAATTTAAGAAAATAGGCTTACATTGGCTGATTATAGAAGAGGAGCAAAATTCTAAATTTTCAGTATCAGTAATGAAGTGCCTTAGCTGTGTCCAAAAAGAGTGCAACATTTGTACTAGGAATGTTAAATATTGTATAATAGATTAATTATGTAACTGCTGAAAATCTCACTGGTTATAGGAGGGGTGGGCAATAATTTTTGATGGGGGGCAACTTTACAAATATCTGAAGTGGCTGTGGGCTGCCCCAGAAGGGGCAGGGCATCAAGCAGAAGGGTCAGGAGACTTCCTGTGCTCTCCCACCCACAGACTCTGATTGGCCTGGGGACAGGGGAGCAGATGAAGTCTTTGCCCCGTCCCCCAGCTGTTTTGAACAGCTGGCAGTTCCCTCCAGACACTGCTATCACTTGTGGTGGGAGGAAACTTTGTGTGCTCCCCCATCCCCAAGTCTCGATCGGCCTGGAGGCGGGGGACCAGCAGGGCAGCTGCAGGCTGGATCAACCAGCTTGGAGGGCCAGATCTGGTCCCCAGAGGCAATCTTGCCCACCCCTGAGTTACAGGATTACCTGTGCTGCGGGTTCTACAGTATAAAACTTAGCAATATAAAGCTGAGCCCTGTCAGGCTGGCTCCCAGGGTTGAAGCTTTGCTGCAGAAGCAAAGTTTCTTCCCCAGGAGCGGAGCTGGCAGCACTTACCTGCCTGGCTCCTGGGAAGGTGGCTTTGCTGAGTGTACCAGACACCATTAACCAATAAGAATGTGCTTATCGGTTAAACAGTTAACTGTTTACACTCAAACATCCCTAATTTCTATCCTTACATGATAAGATCAACTACAAATAAGTTCCATCTTAAATGCCAGTAATAGTCCCAATTAGAACCTTTTAGATAGTTGTCAGAGGTGAAAGTAAGGCAGTGGGCCCCAGTACTATGCTCCAGAAAAAGCCAGCGGGGAAGTGGAGTGATTTGATATAAGCTCTCCCAGCTAGGCTCCTCATGCCAGCTGGCACTGACAATCCAGTGTACACAGCCAGATAAAGCAGGTAGGTTAAATGGGCCAGCTGGCCAGCTGGGAGCATGCTGTAGTAGAGGGGCACATGCTCCCAACTAGGCTACTAGTGCATCTGTGGCTGTACTGCTGCCCTTCAGTGGATGCCAGGCAGTACAATTGGGGTCTTATTGGCCAGGCTTCATTTTTAAACAAAATATGTCAAACTCAAAAGGGTTTAGCATTGTCTTTATATATGAGAGGGGTGAGGAACCTGTTCTGAGTCAAAGGTCACTGACCCACAAAATAAAAACCCTCCAAAAAACCCCAACCCTCACTAATGTGGTCCCAGATGTGCTGGTGGGGGTAGGGGACAGAGTGCTAGTGGTTGCTGGGGCTGGGGAGAGGGCGCTGCTGGGTGAAAGGATGCTGGCTCAGGTGGCGGGGTGCTGGGGCAAGGTGCTGTGGCAGGCAGGTGGCAGGGTGCTGGGGTCAGGGACATGGTCCTGCTGGGCACTAGGGTGACGGGCAGGGTGCTGGGACAAGGAATAGGGTGCTGCTGGGTGCTAGCGTGGATGGCAGGGTGCTGGGGCAGGGTGCTGGGGCCAGGGCGGTGCTAGGTGCTGGGGTGGATGGCAGGGCTGCCAAGGAGCGGGATAGGGATGGGGTGTAGGATCTGGGAAGGAGGTGGGGAGGTGGAAGGGGGCAAGGTCTGGGTGGTAGGTAGGGTGCAGAAGCAGGCTGGATGCAGGGTATCTAGCCAGGAAGAGGGAGCAGGAGCAGATTGGGCATATGGTGTCTGGCTATGAGGGAGAGTGCAAGGAGGGGACTTGGGTAGGAGTTGGACCTCTCTGAACTGGCACCCTCTGGACCTCACTGGTCCAGGATGAGGAATTTTTGATCCAGGGGAGGTCATTTCAGGGCTCCTGGTTCCCCCTCCCCCGTCCCCACTAGGCTTCTTTGCACCTCTATCCCCTGCAACCCAACTGAGCTGCCCACCCCTGCTGGTTCCCTGCACCTCCCACGATCCAAGGGAGCACAGCACCAGTTCCCTGCAGCCCCTCACAGCCCAGCTGAGCTGCCCTTCTGTTCCGTATGCCCTCCCCCATCCACCTCAGCCCAGCTGAACCCTGCACTGGTTCCCTGCATGCCTGCCCCACAGCACAGCTGAGCCCCATTTCCCTGCTCCCCCAAACCCCGCAAACTGCTGAGCCAAGAGCCGATTCCCTGTCCCTCCCTCCCCTTGAGTCTAGCCCCGGTTTCCGGCACCTCCATCCTCCTGCTGCCGAACTGAGCTCTGAGCTCCACACACACACGCTCCCCACCCCACAGCCCAGCCCAACCCAGCCCAGCTTCCCGGACCTCCCCACTCTGCAACCCAGCTGAGCTCAATTTCCCTGCACCGTCCCCCAAACCATGCAGACATACTGAGCCAGTGCTGATTCCCTGCCTCTGCCTTCCTCCCTCCCTTTGGCTGTGTCTACACTGGCACGATCTTGCGCCAAAGCGGCTGGTCTTGCGCAAAAATTTGCTGCCTGTCTACACTGGCCGTGTGTTCTTGCGCAAGTACACTGTCGGTCTCATGTATGAAATCAGGGCTTCTTGCGCAAGAACTACGATGCTCCCGCTCAGGAATAAGCCCTTTTGAGCAACTATTCTTGCAGAAGAGGCCACTGTAGACAAGCAACATGAATTTCTTGCACGAGAAAGCCCAAAGGCTAAAATGGCCATTGGTACTTTCTTGGGCAAGAGAGTGTTTACACTGGCACGGAAGCTTTCGTGCAAAAGCACATCTCTTGCGCAAGAGCACATGCCAGTGTAGGCACTCTCTTGCACAAATACTTTACTGCAAAAACTCTTGCATTAAAAATATTTGCGCAAAATCTTGCCAATGTAGACATAGCCAGTGAGTGTTTTCCTTGTAAGCCAGAACTAACTACTGTGGATCAGATTCTGTGCTGAGATACACCCTCTCCCCTTGACCTAGCAGGTCACATTTAAGGGATCACTCAGGCTAGAATATGGCCCTTCTGTGTTTGCACAAAAACCTTTCATTATTTAATAGCCATTTTGGAGTTTGCTTGTCCAAACATGTAAACCTGAATCAATAAATACTCCTTGCCCAATGGGCTCAGATGGCTCTGACTCAAATTCCAGAGCAGTGAGGAAATGGGGGAAATTTTATGTTTCTTTTTGCTTCTATAGAGTCTGCAGGAGATCCTAGAGGGATTTCATAAGCTATAGCATTGTGAATAGTTCCATTTAGTTTCTACAGAGAGTCCATAGGAAGTATTCTAGGAAACTCCACTGAGATTTCTGACTGTAATGTATCACCACAAATGGCCTTTTGAAAGTATAAGAGCCAGGAGAGACAGAGAGTGCACTCTTTAAGTTATAAATGAGGCCCGGGTCAGATATGTTTACAAATCCTCCCGTTAATAAAATTCTCCTTAATAGGACTCTCCTTAACATAGTGAGAGCAGCCATTCCTGTACAGATTAACTGGTCCAGACAGAAGAGGCGGCAGCAGTAGCCCCATTAGCTTGCGGCATGCATGAGTCTAGTCGAGTCTTTAGAGACAGACTTCCACTTACATTAATGAGCTGAACAGGAGGGGTTCTTTACTACCACTCTTCTAACGTACTGGTGTCCTCCTTGATCCTGCCTTGGTTCATGTTATTAACACACCACTACTAAAAACACTAATTTGGAATATCAAGATCTGGTCAACAACTGAAGAGCCATGACCACAGTGAGAGGAGTTAGATGCTGCAGAGACTGTCAATTCAGAAGGTACAAGCCTTCTCCCTACCCTGCACTGTTTTTGTTTTTTTTAATAGAATGAACAGGGGACAGTAGGCCTGTGGTTTCCCTTCACACCTCCATCCCTGCTCCACGTTTCCAGACCTCTTTTGAGATGGGCTGTCTTTGCCCAGATGCTTGTGCCTGTTGCTCGTAAGAAGGGAAGAGACCCCTCCACCTTTGAGCCCTTTTGCAGGAGAATGGGGCAAAGGTTATCTTGCTCCCAAGAAATTTCTTCCAGCATGAGTATGAAGCAATGGAAGGAGACTAAGGCGACCTGGATTCTGATCCTGGTTTTGCCACTGGCTGACTTTTGGACAAGTCATTTACCCTTTTGTGTCTCATTTTCCCCATCTGTAAAATACAGATAGTGATACTGACTTTCTTTGCCAAGTACTTTGAGATCTACTTGATGAAAAGCCTCTATAAGAGTCCAGTATTATTATTTCATAGAAGCCCTGACCAGCTGCATATTCCAGAATAGACCTGAATGAATGGGTTTGCTAATTCACTAAATTTCAAATTGAAACAGTTTTGAAACAAAACATTGAAGCATTTTAACTTTTAAAGCTGGTGTGGGGGGGGG